CTTCTTGGCTCAGTTGGCAGAGCGTCTGCCTAGTAAGCAGAAGGTCGTCAGTTCGATTCTGGCAGCAGGCATTTTTTTGCCCTTTATTTTGCTTGCGCAATCTACCGATGCTATTTTTTTGCTGCTGTTGTCGTAGCCGTTTGCCGTTATTATTGCAGGTAATCCGGTCGCGGCGGGCGGTGCCCTCATCAGACTCACGACGTCAATGTTTGTGGTTCCCAAGTAGACCACCATGGCCAGTCTGCGAGTAGTGGTTTGCAATGGCTTTCTATTCAAGCTCTGATGGAGACTGCCCTCAGCGCGGCAATCGTTGAATTAAAAGTCTCTTTTTGGCCGCTGATGAGAGCGCGTGTCATCTCCAGAGTTTTGTTGTTCACAAAAAGTGTGAACCCTTGTCAGTTACTTTCTGCTCTTGTTTGCACACAACACATACCAATTGAAAACATATTACATACATTTCACCCAAGGTCTTGCATATTCCCCAGCCGATTCTTCAACATAACATGTAGCTTTGTCAAAAGCTTTGCTCTATCACTTGTAATTTACTATAAAAGGGTATCCTGCCCTAAAGTCATTGTCAAGCTTTTTAACTTGGTTCACAGTCGCCGGTCTATGCAAAACGTTGTTTTCGCGTTGTACTGGTAGAATCTAGTGCAAAAGGCAAAAAATAAAACGAAATATAGATGTAAAATAAGCAGGATAAAATAAAAATATTTTAGAGTTAATAATTCAGCTATTCGCTTCTGTGTTTGCTAAAAAAAGTAATTGAACATAAGAGCGACTACTTTTTAATTCGAATATAGTCGAGAGATTCTTAACAATGGTGCAAATTTAAATAGCGCACAGATGTGGCATGTTGCATTTTTGGATTACATAATGTAGTTTTATATCCTCAACTGGAAAACATAATAACAGTGTAAGAACTGCAGCCATATATGGTGTGTTTAATTGCTAGATATTCTAGATCACTCCAAATGAGCGTTAAACTACATCAATTGCAATTTGACACTTTGCAAATGATGTCGCATTGAATCCAAACATTATTTGACCAGTGTCAATTACAATACTGATGTTTTATTGTATGTACACACTTGGTGTTTATATTTAAATGCTAAACGGCAGTTTGCAATATATTTAAAATGTTGGACAACCCACACTATATAACGTTGCGTCTATAAAAGCCGTATCTGAGCAGTTGATCAAGCCAAGCTGGTAGTCATATCGTCGTGTTAATATCAATGTAGCGCTTTTTGATAAAGTAAAACCGGCGAAATGTTCATTAAAAAGCTGTTTGGGTTTGCATGACATGCAACGGCTCAAGAAATAATAATTAATATAAGAGAGCGTTTTCTTGAATTCAAAAAAGAACTGCAACACTATGTCGCCTGGCAAAAGTAAGCGTCAAAAAAACAACTGCCACTCACCAATGCAAAATTCAGCAAAAAGGGGCTTTGCCGGGAATTGAACCCGGGACCTCTCGCACCCTAAGCGAGAATCATGCCTCTAGACCACAAAACCAGTAACGCCTGTTCCTAAACAGATCGCACATTTAATAAACAATTTTAAGAACAGTAGATAACTCACTGCCACTGTTTTATCTGCGCTTGCCGTGTTTTAGCCATAACTTTTAATATTTTGGAGACCACTGTAACGCAAATGCTGTGAGGGGAGCTGGCTGTTGCGCGCTTATTCCACAGCATTGAATATATTAACGTGCACAAGTGTTTATTATATAGTTCTAAATTCGCTCAATAACTTTTTTGCTGACCATAGCGCGCAGCACAACAAAGAACATTGACGAGCATAGCATAAACACACCCGAGAAGATGATTGTGGGCTTGTAGTTAGTGCCGTTGCCAATGTTGTCGAGGATCGCGCCTGAAGATGGTGCGCCGACCATTGTGCCTGCAAAGTTGGCCATATACAAGAGACCGATAATAGTTGAAATCCGCTGAACACCCCAGAGATCGGCCATAACCACCGGGAGCAGACCAATAAATCCACCACAAAACAACCCGTAGACAATGGCAGAGGCGATAAGAGTGCCGCCGACTTGGAATGGAAGCCAGAGCACCAATATGCTCAGCGATGAGACAAATGTGCACATCACCATGGTGTTGATGTTGCCTAAGAGGCGCGCGACTTCGCCAGTGCCAATACGACCAACCGTGGATGCAGCGTTGATGATGGTAAGCAGGTTTGTGCCAAAGCTGTTGGACTTTCCGACAACCTGCTGAGCAAACGACGGCAGACTGAACAGCGGCGTAAAGTAGCCCGTTGTAGCACAGACGGCGCCAATGAATATTAACAAAAAGCGCATGTCGCGGAACACGCCAAAGTCAACGATTTTGTCGCGAGTTTGGACTCTTAGCCGGCTGCGCATAAACAGGCTGGCGACCGAGTTTACGGCAAAAATGATAATACCAGTGATGCGCAGCGCCCAGGCGGTCCCGAGCTGGTCAATCATTGC